ATATTTCAGGACGTATCTGGAAAAGCTAAGGACAAAGCAGTAGCTCTTGGTGTTGCCATCGGATCTGGCTACCTCTACGAGACCACTTTTCAAAAAGAAGTTTATTCAGACCTTGTAGGGGAACGGGGAGTACTTATGGGCGCGATTCAAGGTTTATTCCTTGCTCAATATGAGGTATTGCGAGCAAACGGACACTCCCCTTCTGAAGCGTTTAATGAAACTGTCGAAGAGGCAACACAATCTTTATATCCCTTAATTGGACAAAACGGCATGGATTGGTAAAGGTTTAATTTGTTTTTCCGTATTTCCGAATTAGATCATTCGATCTTTAGTCAATATTGCATAATATAAATTAAAGGATGTATGCTGCATGTTCGACGACGGCGCAAAGAGGAGCCCTCGACTGGTATAAACCATTTCACGATGTTACCAAACCTGTCTTTGAAAAATTGTATGCTTCAGTCGCAGATGGAACAGAGACGCGTCGCACATTGGATAAAAACTCTTCACCTACATACCAAGAAGACTTAGAGAAGGAATTGAAAGAAATTAGGTGCCTTCAAATAGTTCAATGACATACTAATACATTTTTCGATTCTCATTTCTCATGTTTGTATATTTTCCTAATTTTTAGGGAAAGTGAAATGTGGAGAGCTGGTAAGACTGTACGAAGTCTCCGTCCTGAACGAAAAAATGATTAGTTTTTAATACATATTCGAAATCAAAGTACATTATGTACACTGAGTTTTACTTAGTCTAAAAACAAAATATGTAATTAGGTTAAATTAAATAATCAATAAAAGTATATTAGAAATGTCCAATTCAATTTTTTTCGAGCCTTCATTAAACTTAAATAAGAACGGTCAAAATTTTTATTTATATAAACTTAATAATCTATTAAATTATTATTATAAGGGAACATATCTATTAAAATTTTCACAGCAACATTAGAACTAATAATATTATAATATAAGTTAAATAAAAAAATTTATGAAAAGTTAAAAAAAATTTAAAAACGCAAATCCCATCCTATTTGGGGACCATATTTAGGTAAATATTCGGCTACCGTTGAAACATCCTTGTCACCTCGGCCACTAACACATATCAGGATATCTTTATCCTTTGGCATTTTTTGAGCAAGCACAATTGCTTGGTAAATTGCATGGCTTGTTTCAAGTGCTATAAAATCAACTATAATTAATCAGAGTTATAATTAATGATAATATAACAAAAATCAACCTACCTGGAATGATGCCTTCTAGTTCTGATATTTTTCTAAAGCCAATTAAGGCTTCCTTATCAGTAACAGCACAATATTCAGCTCGACCAACATCTTTTAACCAAGAATGTTCCGGACCAACACCTGGATAATCTAGTCCAGCACTTATACTGTGTGTTGCTTTAATTTGGCCTTTATCATCTTGTAGCAAGTACGTTCTAGTCCCATGCAATACGCCTGGTGTACCTACACTCAAGGTCGCCGAATGAAATTCCGTATCTATTCCTAAAGTATAAAGTGATGTTATTGTGACCAAAATATTCATCATTTGTTAATGAGCTGCAAAAAGTGAGAATATTTACCATCACCACCAGCCTCAACACCAACAATTCTAACATCCTTATCGTCAAGAAATGGATAAAATAACCCAATAGAATTGCTACCACCCCCCACACAAGCTACAATTACGTCCGGCAACTTGCCGGCTTTCTGCAACATTTGTTCCCTAGCCTCTTTACCAATTACGGACTGAAATTCTCGCACGATTTTGGGAAACGGATGAGGACCTATTGCTGATCCCACAATATAATGTGTATTGTGTACATTGGTCACCCAGTCTCGCATAGCTTCGTTGATAGCATCTTTCAACGTTTGGCTACCTGCAAGATTAATGGTTATATGGGTTATAAACGATCACCAACTTAAAATCATATAAGATACAAACCTGAATCTACAGAAATTACTGTTGCGCCCAATAATTTCATTCTAAATACATTCAATGCTTGTCTTCGAACATCCTCGCTTCCCATGTAAACTATGCACTCCAGTCCAAATTTTGCACAGACAGTTGCTGTGGCAACTCCATGTTGACCAGCACCAGTTTCGGCAATAATTCTCTTTTTCCCTATACGTTTTGCGAGGAGAACCTGACCGACTGCGTTATTGATTTTATGAGAGCCTGTGTGATTTAAATCCTCTCGTTTCAACCAAATTTTTGCACCGCCAGTATCTTTCGTTAACCTATCAGCAAATTGAAGTTGTGATTCTCGACCCATATAATCATAATATGAACGAAATTCCTCCCAAAAATTTGGGTCCTCTTTGGCTTGAACAAATGCCTGGTAATAGGATCGGTATTAAAATATGCTGAAATTTCGATAATTACTATGCATAAGAATTACACACTTTTTCGAGCTCGGTTAAACAATCTACTAAAGCTTCTGGAACGTATTGACCCCCAAATTCTCCGAATCGTGAAGATATACTATGATGTATACTATCCTAATAATAGAATATTATTAAGAAAGTTCTAATATTGTTAAAATCGTTTTACCAAAAGTAGAAGCATAAATTACATCTTCATTAGAGATTCCACCGCTTAGATTCTTATTCGCGATTTCATTATCATTATCATTGTAAACGCCATCTAATTGTTATAAAAGTTAGTAATAAAAATAAATAATTTTTTATTAACGGTTAGATCCTTACCTTTCGTATGGTTTCTATCCGATAAACCACATACTTGAGATGCATAAACTTTTACACATTCGGCACGTTTTCCCTTTTCTGAAGTCAATTGACAATTATAGGTACTTAGTAAAGCTCACAAAGATATACGTTAAATTATCAAAAATACTTACCAGCTTCCTTCAAAACTTTTACAATTTTACTGCCGATTACTACCCCTTCAGCATGCGATGCGACAAGTTCAAAATGTTCCCTCGTTGAAACTCCAAACCCAACCGCCAGAGGTAGGTTTGTATACTTACGAACTCTGGCAATAAGATTTGGTAGCTCATTATTGACCTCAGAACGAAAACCAGTTGTTCCCATCCTTGATACAACATAAATAAATGAATCGGATATGCGCGAAAGATGTCGAATACGCGAATCGGTAGTAGAAGGAGCAACAAGTGGAACATAACTTAATCTGATTATAATATAGTATTAATGCTAGTAAAATACAATCTTTCTTACAAAATATATTAAAAAATGTATATATTCACCCATAACGTGCACAAATTTCTCTCAAATTATCAGATTCTTCAGGTGGTAAGTCGACTATAATAAAGCCATTGACTCCAACTTTTTTACAGTCCTCCACCATCTTTTGCTCTCCGTAACTTAAAATTGGATTGTAATAACCCATAAAGATCACAGGAACTTTGAGACCACGGCTCCTTGCTTGAGAAACAAATGATAAGCATTTTGGAATGTCAACGTTATGTTCAAGAGCCACCTACTTATCATATGACTGCAATTAAAGATGGGTCGAATTTTAAAACAATTATTTTACAATTTTTATTACATTGTTAGATTCTTGTATAATCGGCCCGTCAGCCAAAGGATCAGTAAAAGGAAAACCTATGTGTAAGTTTATTAATAAGTATTATTGATGCTAGAGGATAATTAATTTCCTTTTCTTGTTCCTTGAATGTTATAGAATATTACCAAGTTCTATTATATCCGCGCCACCCTCTTCAAGTCCAAGTAGGATATCGACGGCCTCTTCAGGATCAGGATATCCCGCGGTTACAAAGGCAACGAACACCGGGCGTTCTGGTAATAATTAAATTTTGTTTACCGAACTATATATACACAATTAAATACTGCGACAACTAAAACAAATTGTGTGTATTGTAAATATCTACTTTCTTCGAGACATTTTTGAAAAACTTGTCTCAAAACCGTCGACATTTTTGCATTGAATAAGAAAGATTTTACGTAGATTATCTGTCAACTTAATACTAAAACAAAGTGTATCCCCGAAAATAAGCACTTAAATGCGTAACTGTATATACAATGAGTCATAATTAATGGCACTAAATTCCTAAGATTATTTTAATCTAATTTCTCAAAAAATCATTGTTTTTTTCAAAAAAGTATTAGTTTCTTTTTTTTTTTATAAAAGTTTATATTTATATTTGCATTAGAATGAAAATTCTAGTTAAATAGCATAAAAACAAAACTTTCGATAATTCTTTTTTTGTTTTTTTATATTAAAATTATTTTATTGTCCAGAGCGAAGAGTAGGACTACCGGTCATTACGTAATACGCGAAATAACTAAGTAAGTAATTAACTTAATAAAGCGTGTAATTAATAAAATAGATATGTTAAATTACTATATAATATATTCGACTCTCTAATAATATATCTTTTTGTTTTTAAATTGTTCAAAAATATGCCTCTAATCAGATTGCAATTCTGTATGTTTATTAATTTTATAAAATTAATAATACATTGTACCCTAAGGCATTATATTAAAGTTAAACTGTATGTATTTCAGAACTCCTGTCAATAAGTAATTGTAGATTTGTATGTGATTCTTGAATTTTTAATATTAAGACCATCATATTGCCTACATTATTTAGCTATTTACTAACTATTTTACTACAAGGAAGTAGGTTCATTAAGCTATTCTGCATAATATTAATTATCTTAGATTTTTCAAATCTTAACTTTTTAAGTGTATTGTGAAAAATGATAAAATTACTCTTTTTTCAAGATTATTTTAAAAATCATAGCCAACCTATTATTTCAACATAAACCTATAATCCTAAAAGATAAAAAAATAAAGAAAAAAAAAATATTTGAAAAGTTTGTCTTGATAAATAAAAATCTTTCAATATCAATTAGTTTATTAGAATAAATTTTTTACTATTACTTATAGTTAAATAAACTATTTAATTTCTAATGTTCTATTATTAATCAAGAATGTTTAAA